AATGCGACTAATTAAACTTGTAAGAAATAAGTAGTTATTTGTTTAATCAATAAACTGTGTCAGTATAACACTTTGTGATGACTTTTCGTATGTTTTAATTTTACACTTTTGAATGTACACAAAAATTATATCAGCTGTTCGTCTAACTTGCAAGTTTCTGCAAATTTTCTGTTCGCGTACTATTTGGGATATTTTTCTCTTGTGAGAGAACAGATGACATTTTGCCGGAATTCGGCAGTTGGTTGGTTTTTACTGGAGATTTTAAACGAACGCACCTAATACAAGGTTAGATAATTATTGACAGCCGCGGTTTGACACTCCCTTACAAAAGGTTGCATTTACGAAGGACAGAGAAAGGGGAAGAATGCAATCCCTTGTTGCGAAAATGGTAGTAGAAAAGTACGCAAAGTAGGCAATTAGTAGGGAAATTCCTTTTGTAAATTCTAATGTATTTGCAGGAAATCTTGTATTTTAAACGAAATATTGAACGAAATATTAATATATCTAAGTGAATTACGTAATTTATGAGCCATTTAGCTGTATAAAAACTGCAAAAGGACTCAAAATTAAAATAAAACTAGTATGAGATTTATGTAAACATCCAATTTAAAAACAATTTATATTTTCATCATTTAATGGGCTTCATATGCATATACAAATAAACATATTGCACAAAAGCTCATACTTTTATTTCACAGCAAAGCTACACTTTTTCCAAGTAAATTCTCAAAGAAGCAACACGGTGCCACTGCTAAGGGAGCGGTGCGAGAGATACAGCTGTCAGTTTATCGAACCTTGTATTATTGAATCATGCTCAGGATGTAACTATGTAATATTGATGCGCCTAAAAGATGCAGCGATTTCTATTCTCAAGTAACATACCTGATGACAGTACGAATGGCAATTATAATAAGGAGGTTAGAGTTTTTTAAACTATAATTTTTATTATACAAATTCTGATATAAATCATGTCATTGTGTTAATTTATTCTTAACCTTATGTGTCACAAGCAAAAATGAAGAAAATTCCAGTAAAAAGCCACCACCAAATTGTAAGCAACGAACAAATGTAAACAAACGGCTGATGTCAGAATCACCCAATTTTTTTCTAAATGCTATTATAACAGGCTACTGGTTTGTTGGCGTGATCTTGTATTTTTGATTCATGGGGTGTTTTCGAACTGGCTGCCGAGATAGCATAGATAACTAGATACGAAACTCTTTCTCGTGAGAGCGCTGTCAAAGTGTGTATTTTTTATATCATTTTCCAATAGAGCCACTGTGACGAAAACATGTGTGGGCATTTATTGAGAAGTTTATGGAGAAACTTTTGATTAAACAAGGGTTTAAAATGCGAGTGAAATCGTGTTTAGTTACAAATACTGATTTATAGCAATATTAAAAAATGCAGGCGCAATAAAACCACTGAATTCAAGGTGGTGCATTTCCCACACATCTAGTGGGAGCGGCAACACTGCATGTGTTTCGCACCAGCTGATTATCTGCCCAGGGATTGGCAGTGCTGCCAACTACGAAACGAGTTCCTGGGCGCGCTCTCAGATAAAAATGAGAGAGTTTCATATCTAGTTATCCATGGAGCTAGGTCTTCCACTCAGGTGACGATATGTACTCAATTAAAATTAACATGCAGATTTAACTCAACTCTGGCGTTGTATTGAGTGATATGATAAACTAAAGGGCTGACTATAATGTGAATAAGCTGCCGTAAACGACTGTCAGAAAATGAACGAAAAGTCTGTCAAATGCATTAGCAACGTAGTGTTGACTTTTAGGCGGCTATATTTTAATTACATTTGTTTTTTTATTTTTTCCCAAAATCACCAGAAAAAGTTACCAAACTCAACAAAAAATTACCAAATTTATTTTAAACTGAACCAAAATTTCGGAGCACTTTAAAATCCACATTTGTCCAGTTATGACCAAAGAACGTAGATAACAAGAAGGACAACTCGTTGTTATTGTAGCGAAAGTGAATAACAGGGGCATGCTTCTGGAAACGATTATAGGAGATATAACAATAGCTTGATAGCGGCAGCTTGTTTTAGATCACAAAGTTATAGTAACCTAGGAACGCCGAAGAACTGTTCGCCTTGCGAAACTTTCAGGATTACCTGGTATTTCTGTTAAAGGAAACGCTTACAGCCCATTTTCTAATGTAGAACTAGAACTTGTTTTGACCTATGTTACATGTAGGACTGAATCGAAAAAGTTATCAAGTTGGAAAATAATTCACCAAGCTACCAAATATGATAAACAAAGAAAAAATTACCTATTTCGGTAAAAATTTGTAAAGCGGTAACACTGCATGTGTTACATATGTACATACCCAAGAATGATAGAATACAAGATTGCGCCGATCAGAGAGGATTTTTGAGAATAACTTTTGTGTGACGTCACACTGGTGCAATTGCGAGAGAGAAATGCCAAAACGTGAGCAAGAATGGAAGAAGAAGAAAAAATGTCGCAAGGAAAATGTAAACAAGTTGCACCAGTGTGACGTCATGCAAACAACGATTCTGTCAAATTCGTTAAGAGAGGAATAGCGGTCCGAGATCGGCGCAACCTTTGTATTCTCTCAATCGTGGTACATACCCATGAACGAAAGACACAAGATCACGCCTTAAGGAAAGAAAGAAGTTATTTTCTAGCTGTTGAAATCTCGAAGCCATCTTTGTTGTAAGAAGTAAACAACGAAGAGAACAAAAAAAACGCGTAATTGTTGAACGAATGAATAATCATTTTTATTATGCAAATTCTTCTATAACCCATTCCGTTGTGTTAAATTATTCTTTATCTTATGTGTACACACGTTGTCACGGGCGAAAATGAAGAAAATTGCAGTAAAAAGCCGCCNTCCAGTTATGACCAAAGAACGTAGATAACAAGAAGGACAACTCGTTGTTATTGTAGCGAAAGTGAATAACAGGGGCATGCTTCTGGAAAGGATTATAGGAGATATAACAATAGCTTGATAGCGGCAGCTTGTTTTAGATCACAAAATTATAGTAACCTAGGAACGCCGAAGAACTGTTCGCCTTGCGAAACTTTCAGGATTACCTGGTATTTCTGTTAAAGGAAACGCTTACAGCCCATTTTCTAATGTAGAACTAGAACTTGTTTTGACCTATGTTACATGTAGGACTGAATCGAAAAAGTTATCAAGTTGGAAAATAATTCACCAAGCTACCAAATATGATAAACAAAGAAAAAATTACCTATTTCGGTAAAAATTTGTAAAGCGGTAACACTGCATGTGTTACATATGTACATACCCATGAACGAAAGACACAAGATCACGCCTTAAGGAAAGAAAGAAGTTATTTTCTAGCTGTTGAAATCTCGAAGCCATCTTTGTTGTAAGAAGTAAACAACGAAGAGAACAAAAAAAACGCGTAATTGTTGAACGAATGAATAATCATTTTTATTATGCAAATTCTTCTATAACCCATTCCGTTGTGTTAAATTATTCTTTATCTTATGTGTACACACGTTGTCACGGGCGAAAATGAAGAAAATTGCAGTAAAAAGCCGCCACCAAATTATAAACACAGAAGAAATGTAAACAAACGGCTAATGTCAAAGTCGCCCAACTTTTTTCCTAAATGCGATTATAACAGGCTACTAAAAGCTCAAACAGTCAATGACGTAACGTAGACGTAGGTTGACGCAGACACGATCTACCTTATGCGATTCGCGTGTTATCTAAAACTCACCACCGCATGGCGGTGACGTTGCCGTTTCTTCCCTCTCTCTCTATCAACAGTAAATTTGATATGCTGCTACGTACGTCAACCTACGTTTACGCTACGTCGTTGACTAACTGAGCCTTAAGAAGAAGGCGTGATCTTGTATTTTTGGTTCATGGTACATACATATGTACATACGAGTACAAACAGCTGACTCCGTATGGAAGGGCGACCCGTGTGCAGGTTTGCCAGATCTTGGCATGAGAAAACGTCCCTCTTGGTCTGAAAAAACGCCATTTCCTACCCAAAAACGTCTTTTTCAAATGTACAAAAAATTGTACTTATTAAACTTTTATTGTATACAAACTTGGTCGGCAACTGGTCGATGGGCGGTTTTGCAAAAACATCGACGATATGTACCTAAGGTATATTAAAATGTCATTTGTTAAATCTGAGATCAGATTTGTAATCAGCAACCCCAAAAAAACCACTGGAAATGAGTTTCAACCCTTGACAATGTTTAAAACGTTCAGTATCAACGTTTTAATTTTAGTATTTATTTCTTTTAATTTGATCGCCATATTGGATCCGCCATTTGGATCAGATTCGTAATCGGCGACCCCAAAAACTCTCGAGTGCCGGTTTTCGAACAAATCCAACCATTTTTTTTAAATGTGGATCGCCGTTTGGATTTTGGAAAACTGACTTCAGATTCCAAATTAGCAGCCCCAGAAACCCCCTGGTAAGAAGTTCCAACCTATGACAATGCGTAAATCGTTCAGTATCTACGTTTCAATTTCACTAGTCTCTTTTTGAAAGCTTATTTTCGGGCACTAGGCCTATTTTAACTGCCCAAGACAGGTATGTAATTAAGGGAATGTTCCCCAATAATACCAGAACACATGAAACCACATTTTAAGCTGCATTTTGACATGTCAAGAAAAAAAAAAATTGAGAACATCAGCGTTTTTATAAAAAACGGACCAGCTTGACCTCTAAGAAAACTTTTTTTTGCGAAATAAAAAAAAAACCGTTTCTCTTTTTTAATCACAAATATTAATAATTTGTGGTAGCGTTTATGAATTTCCAAAAAAAAAATTTTTGAATCACTCTAATATGTACATATAATATATATATTTTTTTTGTATATATGTACATACATATATTAATGCATATGAATGTAGTACATAGTATAAAGATCTGATTATGCATACTTCGCATAACTTCGCACAACCATTTGTACCAGTGCAATAAAAATGTAACTTAAGAAAATGTGAAGCAAAATCTAAACTAAACAGATCGCTAAGTTTTTAAAAATTCCGCTAATTTCTGGGTAATGGAGTACATAAAAAATACATACAAAGAACATACGAAATTACAATTTGCAGGTTATGGGAAGTTGTGCGAGGTTATGCGAAGATATGCGAAGCATGCATAATCAGACCATAAGTTTGGTTTTACCCGCTTTTGTCAACACGCGTGAATCACCGGCATGTCCGTCATTCGTTCGAACGAGTGCGATCCCCCCGAGCAAGGGCCGACGAAATCCAATGGCGGGGAAGAACCCATCTCAAATGGCTGTCTCATCAACACGATGAACAGCGAGTGAACAAAAGTTCATTTTTAATCGTGCATTTGATCGAAGTAGTTGTAAATTGCGCAAAAAGTGTCATTTGCGTGTAATACAGAAAATACAGTTGAAATATTAAATATTTCATTAATATTTCGATATTCTTTTCCTATCGCAATCAAGAAATAACGATGTTTGTATAATAAGTGCGTTCATTAGCAAGGGTAGATTAACGCATGGTGCTTACGCGTGCAAACATATTACATACAGTACATACATACATAAGTATATAACTGAATTATAAAAAATTGTAAAACAACCAGCATAATGATTAACGATTATATCGATATGGATACAAAAAGTATTCGCTATGTGAGTGAATCGTCAAACGCTAGCACAAGTGGCTATTCAACCATGTCGCCTGGGCATGCTAGTTTACAATCAACGCCACCGTCGCCCTCGCAATCTCCGGCATCTTTATTGCAGACTGAATTTTCAAATTTGAACTTACCCTCGGTGTCGCCTCAACCATGTTATGCCACATTACAAAATGCAACTCTGGTGTACAACAACCAAAATGTTCTTCCCTCGGCTCCAACAAACAACTACATTCACTATAATATTCCTGGCACAGGTATGCCTTCAACAATGGTTTCGTTAACACAACATCAATACGGTGGACTGCATCAACAATCTTCACAAATGTTGCCAAACCTTTCTGTGCCATCTGCCTCCACGATACCAACCGGTTTATCACATGGAAAATATCCTGCGGAGCTGCGAATACTAGAACATCCGGTCGAAAAATTTCGCTTTCGTTACAAGTCTGAAATGCATGGAACACATGGTTCGCTGAATGGCGCCAATTCAAAACGCACTCCTAAAACATTTCCGGAGGTTGAGCTTTGCAATTTTAATGGTAAAGCGGTGATACGTTGCAGTCTTTTTCAAACTAACCTTGAGAGTCCCCATTCACACCAGCTGGTTGTGCGTAAGGACGATACGGACATTTGTGACCCACATAATTTGATTGTTTCACCTGAGCGCGGCTATGTGGCGCAGTTTCAAAATATGGGTATCATACACACTGCAAAGAAATTTATATTTGAAGAGTTGTTGAAGAAAAAAATGGATCGTTTGAAGTTTGAGTTGGCCCGAAATGAGCTGACAACGAAGGAAGTACAGGAGCTACACAAACAAACGGAAAAGGAGACGAAAGAAATGAATCTTAATCAGGTATTTAAAAAGCGTGTAGTCCTTGAATTATTGAAAACTTTTTCAGCCTTTTCGAAAGTTTCGCTCGAAAAAATTCATCCGAAAATTTTTCATCCGCCCATAGTAAATACACGGGAAAAAAGGGAAAAGTGAACCCGTTCGGAGAAAATGAAACTCTTGATAAAGACCCCTTTAAAATGTTTTTAAATAATTTAATATATTCCCCGTCTTATTTTTATAGGTGCGCTTATGTTTCGAAGCATTCAAAGTAGAGGACGATGACATCACATACACGCGTATAGCAGCTCCAGTCTACACGAACCCCATTAATAATCGCAAATCGGCCCAAACTGGTGAACTTCGCATTTGTCGTCTGAGTATTGTTACAGGTAGTGTGTCGGGAGGTGATGATCTCATTCTTTTAGTAGAAAAAGTAAGCAAGAAAAATATTAAAGTACGATTCTACGAAACCAACGAAGATGATGAGATTGTTTGGGAAGCCTATGGAAAATTCCGTGAATCCGATGTACATCATCAGTATGCGATTGTTTGCCAAACACCGCCATATAAAGATAAAGAAGTAGATAGACCTGTGGATGTTTATGTAGAACTGGTGCGACCTTCTGACGACGAACGTAGTTATCCACCGGCAACATTCCGATACAAGCCACGCGATATCGTTGTGTCACGTAAACGTCGTCGAACCTGCTCGAGTGCCACTAGTAGCTCGGGATCAGGAAGTTCCCTAAGTTCCTTCGAATTACCAAAGCCAGTGCAGGAACAAACAGCTAACATAAAAATGGAAGTATCACAGACTCAAATGCAATATACAGACATGGGCAGTTCTCACTATATGAATCAGCCAACCATAAGTGAAGAATATGATAAAAACTTCCAAATCAGCAAATTGATAGGTAGCGATATATTCAAGGAGTGTATGCATATGAACTCGGAAGAGTTGGCCAAGATTTGTCCCACAGATTCGACGGACGCTATAGATAGTTTATATTCTGAACTTTCTTCAACTGGTACACTTGTCGAGGATGGTACATCCTCAACATCTCTGACAAATCGACAACTTTCCAGTGATATGCGCAAGATTTATGTGAAGTCTATATTAGGCACACAAGTGGATGTCCATACAAATAGTAATTTGGAGCGAATTTTTAAAATATTTGATGGAATTCGAACCACCAAGAATTTAGATCAAGATACGTTTGCCAAGGCTGCTAAAATGGTTGATGAAATATTTATTGAACATGCTGAAAGGAATGAATTGCGGGAGAGTATTCTACATGAGATCATAGTCAGCGATAATCCCAAACTCGTAATGAAAACCTGCCACATATTGGATTATTTCAAACTAAAATACCTATTCAGCAAAGTGCTAAATGCGCGCAATGAGAGTGCTTTACATACAGCATGCCTATACAATCGTGAAAAATACATTCGTCCCCTAATAGGGCTCGGCTGTGACCCAAATATTCAAAACACCTATGGCGATACAGCCCTACACATAGCTGTGAAAGAACACCACCAAAAATGCATTGAAAGTTTTCTCAACAGTGATATACAACCCGATTTGACAATTAAGAACGATGAAGGCTTCACGCCTCTTCATTTAGCAATTCGCCAAAACAACTATGATGTTGCTAAGAAATTATTGCAACACGATCGTAGTGCGGCGCTTGTTCCCAACGCAAAGGAGTGCAACAATGGTTTACATATGGCGGTATTGCAATCAAATTTTGAACTTGTCAAATTAATATTGGATACTACACAAAATGTATCGGAATTAATACGGGCATCAAATGCGGCAGGACGAACTGCCGGCGATTTAGCCAGCGAGCTGGACTCTAAGATGGGAAGCCAAATTATCACGTGGTTTGCTTCACTTGGTTACAATGTAGATTATGATAATCGTTTGGTCATAAAAGAAGAAGAGATGTCTTCATCTTCAAATGAAGATGATGAAGATGCTGAAAGTACGATCACTGTAACCAATATATCTGACGAAATTAAGGATATTGGAAAATTTAGAATAAAGGATGAATTCGTAGGCATGGGATTAGACGCTGGAGAATTACAGCGTGATAAGCTGAAAAATCAAGTACTACCATGCAATTTCGATGAATTATTGTGCGATGAAAGTAGATATCGTGCTCTTGCCAACGCTTTGAATGTACAAGATAAATGGAAGAGATTAGCAGTGCCATGCAAAATGCAGCATCTACTATGCTTATGGAATAACGCTGATGATATGCTGGAGTATATGCGCAAAAACATAGATTACGAAACGTTTGTGTCGGCGTTAGAGCTTATAGATAAGAAAATATTAAAATTACTACAAGAAGGATAAATACGGATATATGCACATACCATCCTACTTGTATCTAGAATTACGTTTATATGTCTAAATTATAGGTATTAGAAAATAAAATATACCTGCTTACGTAAATATTATGTATGCATTTCATACGTAGAATCATTCGTTTTCATATAAATAATGTAATTTTTCGTTACTCTTGAAGCTCAAATGCACATGCATGTTCTTTAACTTAATATATGTAAAAAGAGCTTAACTCATTTTTTTTTTGAATTGGCGTTGTATATAAGTCTGGATAATCTTATCCACTAAAAACTCAAGGTAATTCAAAACCAATTACTACAGCATTAAATTAGCTGCAGCCTTTCACAGCACAGTGTGCAAATGAAATTCATATGTAACTGCAAGATAAAATAGTGTATATATATTCATAAATATACAGTAAAGTCCAAGTTCAGTAAGATTTTATTGTATAGGAAGGTATAACCTGTTTGTACTATAAATGTATGTTATTAAATGTGTATGAACATACATATATAATTTATAAAGCTAACTTTGAAATTGTAATTCAATGATTAAGCAAATATGTACATACATTCATATGCATATTAACACATCTAGTTGATTTCCTCTGTTTAAGAAATAACGTATATTCTATACAAAATAAATTTTCATTTGCCTACTTAAGCTTCTCGCACAGTAAATATTTGTATTAGTACACATAAACACGTACATATGTAGTTCTTTCGTACTGAGATGCATAATAATCGTGTTTAAGCTTTTATATTTATATATATGTGTGTATTTGTAAAATGTGTTGCGCTTGAGAATGTCGTTCGTTGACACATATTCTCAATACTGGCATCCCATCAATCCGCAGTTTTACGGGGATTCACAGGCAAACCCCCCACATTTTATTTATGAAGAAAAATGTGAACAAAAACAGTTCCGAGAAAATATGTACATACTACACAAATACATTCATATGTACATTTAAATAGATACGTATGGGTGTTTCCATGCAGCCGTACGCGGCATTCGTACGCTTATGAAGTAACATAAATCTCTCAAAAATGGAAGTTACTGAAAAACATGATTACGGCTATGTTGCAACCCAAGGGTACTATGTTTGAGAAAGATATAAGCAGCCTCGAAGCTTTGGTGTGGAAAATATCCGTTCAAAACAAGGTGATAACGTACAAAACAAAAAAAGAAGTGGTTTTAAGGCACATATACACATCGTCGTTTAAAGTACAAAACCGCTTATCAATAAAATGCAAAACCGCGTATGTGAATTATGTAAATTATCTTCTAGAGAGTAAAAACACTCATCTTTCAAAATGGTTCTCTTTTTTTTTATAAAGCAATCGCATACCTGGCCAGTATATTTCAGGAAAAATGGATAAGGATTGAGCCAAGAGCTTGTGTGAGCAAATCCAATTTTTGGCAGCTAATACCAGTTACGCGGTTTTGCAGAATGACTATACGCGGTTTTGTACTTTAAACGACGATATGTATATACGAAAGTCTGCGAATCATGGGAGTTTTTCTTTTCTTTAAAAATTCCTAAACTAAGCTAAATAATGTACCTTTACGATCCTTCCATTTTGTAATAGAAATTATCTCTGGTTAGTTTTTATTAAAAAAAGATTTTACCCCCATACAATATTTTTACTAGTAACACATACCAAATTAAATTTTTAATTTAATTTTTTCATTTCTCCACCGTTTCGCGTTTTTAAACCCTTTTTCCGCCATCTGAATACGAAATCCGCAGATTAGTGTTAACCAGACATTGAGTAACCGGCCCTTAATGTTATAAATCCGTTTGAACTCATTTGATTCCATTTTCGGTTTACATTTTCATGGAAAGACCCATATGCCAGTATACAAACGTAACTGCAAATACTGATACAAATAACAAATACAAATATATGTAAACATGTTCAAATACGTACAGCTAGATACTTTGATTTTATTTTTGCGAAACACACGATTGCGGTTACATTATCATTTCCTAGAACTGACTTTTTCGCTATTAGTCTTTATTCGCTGTTTATCAATGCCGTGGAGGTTGCTCCACTCTGGCATCGGTAAATCCCCTCATTGAATGTACTCGTTCGTTTTGTGATTGCTATGCATTCTGCAGTTTATTGTTGGCGCTGTTTTGTCCGACCAAGTACATATCAGTAAAGTTTTGTAAATCCCATTTCAAGAGTGGATGAGACTGAGGCGCACTTACATACATCAGTGATCGGACTTCTACCACAATGTGGTAGATCTGCCACTTTTTTTATCATCTGTCACATCTACCACATATTCGCGTTTTTGAGTAGTTTTATTTTTGCTTGACATAATTCTCTTAATTTTAAGAGAAAACATTGTCCAACACTAAATATTAATACAAGATTCCGCATTCCCGGCGACTATGAAATTTCTCAAGCAAAAGTAAACAAAGCCGAATGGGAGGATAAAATAGACTTTAAAATAGTAAATTTTCTCAGTAATCAATTTTTCGACGGAAACGCGGTTTTATTGTGTTAAATTGAAAAAATATGTGATTTTTAAAAAGAATTAATAGCGAAAATGTTAAAAAATGGCGATTTTTGTGAAAGTATTAGCAAATTTAAGTGCATCTAAGGTTACTAAGGCGTAGTTTACTTTTACTTGAGAATTGACAAAATCGGAAAATCCCAATTAGATGTTTCTGGAACGTGCCACATTTGTTCGCTACTTCGTGATGTGATAAAAAGAAAGGCTGGCAGCACATCGCAAGGTTGCAGAAACCTCTTAAAAAGGGCAAAAATTGCCAAAACTCAACGCAATTTTTAGTAACTTCATTTATTATACTAAAATAATTTTTTTTAGAGTCTAATTAAAAAGTTTGCCATTTAGGCGAAACCTTGCAGAATTTTTTAAATTTTTATACAAAGTTTGATCCAAACCCAGAGATCTACCACATTTTTTTTAAATCTAACACATTTTTTCCAGATTCTACCACACAGAATTGTTTCGAAGTCCGATCACTGACATACATATCGTCGTTTAAAGTGCAAAACCGCGTATCAGCAAAATGCAAAACCTCGTATGTGAACTTGTAGAAATTATTTTCTAGAGCGTAAAAACACTCATATTTCAAAATGGTTCGCTATTTTATAAAGCAATCGCATCTCTGGCTNAATGTCAGTTACGCGGTTTTGCAGAATGACGATACGCGGTTTTGTACTTTAAACGACGATATGTGTATATTTACGCACATATTTCCGTTAGAAAGTTATTTCAACTTTTTTTTTTAAATATGCAGTTTGCCAGGCGGAAAAAGATTTCTTTTAGCCTAAAAATAAGCTGTGCAAAATTTTATTCGAATATGACAACTCTAAGTACTTGCACGTTGCATTTGAAAATTTAGCAAACCATATACAGT